TTGCAGACAAGAAATCGCTTCGAAGGAACAAGGTCAGAGGTTGAATCTTTGATGAAGAAGATGAAGGAGAATCCTCACGAGCACAAAAACATCAGCCCTTACACGATGGAGGGTTATCTCTACGTGCAGGAGAAACGTAGGTGTCAGGGCAGCGGAGCTGCCTGCCAGGCGATGCGGCGGAGCAGGCAACTGGGGAAGGTGGTTTATCAGAGTGTGGGGCACGAAGGCTAATTCAGCAGGCTACAAAATCCGTGAAAGAGAGGGATTGGCCCAATGGGTCGGATATTAAGGTGGGAATGTGGGAGCCAGGTTCTCTCTGGAAGGGAAAAATCACTGCCAGTGCCTGATAAAAGTCTTACCCCCGTACAGAAGGAGGGGTCATAGTGCTTCATCCACTTGCAAAGTCCAACAAGAACCGTAGGTACAGAGATCTGTCACGTTAAATGATTGTTAAACGTAACAGGTTATTAATGGGAGGGCACCAAAACTGTACTAGTTCTGGGAATAACGGCTGTGTTTACTTTGTAGGTCACTTTGGGACTTCCTGGGTGAAGCATTACTGCACGTACCAGAGGGAATCGAAGCGGATCACGATGGTGCCATTTGACCAGAAATCTGGAGGGAAAGGGGTGAGTGCTGATAGGTGGCAGGACTGTGTCCCAGGGGTCTCTGCTGGGGAGCAATGCCGGCTGCATGCTCTCCCCATGCTCAGACAGAACCATTTTCAGCAAGGTGACACAAATGCAAGTGAAGTGGGTCAGATTAATTCCAGGCTGAGCGGGTGCCACACGGGGAATTAACTCTGCATCCTGTTTAAAAAAAAAAACCACTCCAAGAAAACCCCAAAAGCCCACAGATCTTTGGAAACTGTCAGCTGTGCTGAGAGCAGAGCCGCTTTCCCAAGTGGATGGAGCCCCTTAGACATTGCTCTGTTTCATGCTTCAGCTCCATATTTCAGGCTGGTGTCTGCATGCAGCTATTTGTAAGGACAGATTTGCAGCAGCTGCCTCTGGGCTGAGACTGGGCCTTTTGCTTCTTGCTTTTAGGTCTGTCCTTTATTTACTTATTTCTGTTTGTGAAAGGAGAGACCTTTAAAAGCTGAAGCATGTGCAGTTGCATGTTGGGTTCCACTCTCACTGTTCCTGGCGATGCTGGGCACACAGTGGGTCGTGCATCTGCACCGTGCCCTGCGAGGCTGTGGCTGTTTCCGTGGGTGGAGGTGGCAGCCGGGGCTGGGAGCGGAGTGGGGTCGTGCCATGCGCACCCACCACGCTCTGGCCACATGGGCTCCCCAGTCCCTAGTTCCTGCTCCAAGGCCTGGAGAAGACAACCTGTGTGTTCTTTTGCTCCTTCTCCAATGCCTATGACTTGGCTGTTGAAGTTGTTTTGGTTTAGACGGAGCCACGGGAGAGCCTGGAGCTCCCCTTGTCCCTGAGGGGTTTGGAGGAGCAGGGGGAGCAGTGGGTGTGGGGGGCCACGCCATGTGCCCCGCTGCTCCTGGGGCAGCGTAAGCCTGGCTGTAGTCGGGACTGGCTTTGCTCCTCTATACAGCAGGGACAATGGACCCCCCCCCGAGTGTTCCCGGCTGGGGCGGTTTGCAAACATTACCCCCTTGCAGGGGAGTGCCTCTGGCAGCTGGACAGGCTGCTGCACAGCTCCCTGCTGGCACAGGGAGCCGGCTGTGGGGAGGGCAGCTTTTAAAATTAATTTCCTCTTGCCTCGGAGCATCTTCATTATAACTCAGCATTAAAATATCCCAGCCCTATAATCAACAGCGGCTGCACATGTGTTTCATGTGGTCTCTTCCCTGCACCCCGGGGCGCGGGCGCTGCCGACATGGCCGTGTTGCCCTTCTTGTGCAGGGCAGGAGCCCTGCTCCGGCGTGCTGTGCCAGCCACCGCGCCAGTGGGGCTGCTTGCCCGGGGTCTTGTGGTTTGGAACAATCCTGGCATGAAATGCTGCCTGTGCTGGGGCAGCTCTATCTGGGCTGCAGATTCTATCAGTGAGGACCGGTGCGAGTGTCAGAGCGTGGAGCAGCCCAGGGACTTGTGGCCACGCTGCCGGGCATTTTGGGGTCTGGCTGGAGCAGGCACCAAGCGATGGGCGATGTAGGTGCTGCAGGAGGAGACCCGTTGCTTGTGGGTCACAAAGGATGCTGTGCGTGGTACCAGCCCCTCGTGAACGTGCCTCGGGCTGTGGCTGGAGCCGGATATTAGTGGGTTTGAAGCGGGGGCATTCCCTGAATACCAGACGGGGAGTTCGGCAGCTTGGGAGCATCCCTTGTGCCAGGCTGGGGAGGAGCGGGTGCAGGTATGAGCCCTGGGGAGAAGCCCTGGTGGGGGAGCCCTCTCAGCTCTGTCTTCCTGGGTTTGTTCCGAGTCCCTAGATGTGTTTCCTGGAAAAACGGTGATGTCAGGGAACAGGGTGGTCAGCCAAGGTGTCATCAAGAACAGCACAGAGAGCACAGAAAAGTGGCCGTCTCCAGGAACTCGTTCAGAATTCATTTTCTATTGAGTCATCAGTGGATTTCAGAAATTGCAGAAGGAGAAATGTCTGTGCTGACAGGGACTGAGCAGGGATTTCCTCCAGCAGAGGACAGCAGTGCACGCAGATCCTGCCGAATCGCTGCTCAGCCTGTGGAAATCCAGTACAATTTGGATGCAGGCGCCTGGATGCGAGAATGGTTTTGTCACGGCTTTGTTATATAATAAACATTTTAAGACATGTTTGCTCCTGTTAAGAGTTCTCGTGTGCAGAATGCTGCCAAAAATGCAGCTTGGAGTGAAAATTGACAGCCAGGTCTCTGATGCATTGTTCAGCAATGGAAAATAAAGCTGACTGTGCCCAAAAGTTGTGGTCCAACACTCCCTGCCTGGAGCGTGGGTCGCACGATGCTCAATGCACAAATTTAATTGTGCGCATTCAGAAAGGAAGGCTCCTTGTGAAAGAATTTGGACTAAACATAGTTGCAAGGGTGAAAAGACAAGTCCTCATGTCAGATAGGTAAATATGTATTTCTGGCAGGCTGATACTGCCAAATCCCCCCAGGTCTGAAGGCATTCAATTGAAAGCGCAGCGGGCACTGGGGACAGGCACACAGTTGGTTGATCGTTCTCAGCCTTATCTGTGATTTTGTCTCTTCTCAGGGAGAAGACGAAGCTGTTATCCTCAAATCTTGTACACGGCGAAAAACTGACTCAATCTCTGTGCTTGGCTTTCCTGGGTAGTTCTTGTGCGGTTTCCATGTTTCTCCTCTTCAGTCATACCCCCTGTGAATGGAAAGCATTAGTCCATGGAAACGCCCTCTCCCTGGTGCTTCCAGTCAGGTGCTCTCAGTATATTGAGTTAGTGCTTCGGTTTACAAGGTGCCGAGTTGGCTCACGTCTCTCAAACTTTAATGGTGTTTTAGCACTTCTGCAGTCTCTGGCCACGTAAGGTAGGTGGTTGCAAGTATGGAAAAGATGCTCTGTGGGTGTTTTGGCAGGGATATGATGCCTCTTTCCAGCATTGGGTATGTGTTGGAGTAAGTTCAGCTTTTGTGCCGGAGAGTGGCTGTTGCTGGTCCGCTATGGACGGGCGATAATGGAAGCCCAGCTTGCACCTCCATGCGCTTTACATTCACTTCTTTTCCTGAAGGAGTAAAATGCTTTCTGATGTGATTTATCACGTAGCAGCCGAACCAGATGTATGTGTGGATTCAATCTATAACACCAAGGAATGAGAGCATGTTATCATATCTAATTAGCATCACACGCGTCTTACATATATAAACAGGAAAACCAGGCTGGGGTTGCTATTCCAAGCGGTATTAGTCACTGCCTCATATCTTCCTTGCTGCAGGAAGTTTACATGGTTTACAAAAGCTTGCTCCAAAGTCTCTGAATGTCTGTGCCCTCCCAGTTGTGTGCCTGTTCATGTTCCAGCTGTCCTCCCCTCCGCCGGCCGCTGCGGGAATGCCCAGGAGGTGTCGGGAAAACCCGAGTTGATCAAAACCTGAGGTGTTGAATAACTCTGGAATACCCTGCGGTACCTTTCCCTGCCCAGCCTGTGCTTCCGCAGCGTTTCAGTGCCAGCCCCTCTCGCTGCCAGCCCAGGGCAGGGAGGGGTTGGGGTGATGGAGCTCTGCCTGTGTTGGCTCAGGGGTAAGATAATCCCGGGCCTGCCTCCCGCTCTCTGTAGCTGTGCTTTCCTCCAGAAAGCTGCAGTATTTCTGCTGACATGAGGATTTTTTTTTCCTATGCCCTGAGGATATTTTTTTAAAATGTGAAAATCAAAATAAAACTGGGAGGAGGAGAAGCCAGCCACCACAATAGTTTTTTTTCTGCAGCGCGTTCAGAAGCAGCTGAACCTTCCCTTGATGTCTGGAGCCTGCTAGGCATGGGATCAAGAGCTACTCCAGAAATATGCCTGCTAAATGTAAATAATGGCAGGGGAGAGGCAAAGGCGGGGAAACCTGAGAAATTGCTCATTTCATGCACACGTTCTTGCTGCAAGAGATTGCCTCTGCAGCGAGAGCAGAAAACGTGAAATATAAGGCTGGTTTTCCCTCCAACATACAGGCAACTCTGCATATTTCTGGCATCAGAATTTGTCATTAGTTGTCTAAAATAATGGTTATTTCCAAAATATATAGTTAAGCTAAGAGGAAGAGGAGGCAACAGGTTTTGCCGTGGCCGAAAGAGGGTGTGATGTGCCCACCCTGTCTCCCCCTCCCTGGGGTAGTCATGCTGAGTGTTGGGAGATCTGGGTACCATCAGGATTTCAGGTGACGCCATCGATGGCCACGGTTCACCAGAGATCACCTTCACCTCGCCCAGCACTCGTGCTTTGGCCTGTTTTACAAAGCGGTGCGTATCGAGGAATGGTTTCCTTGCCAGCCTGGGATTATCGGGGATTGGCAGCACGTGGGTGCCACCCTGTAGCCGTCCCGCCGGAGCCTGGCCACATGGCCCTGGGGACGCAGGTGACCTGGAGCACCTTGTGCAGAGGTGCCTGGTGGCTGCTGGAGGTGCTGGGGCTCACCTGGGCACCGTGGGGAGGGAGACCCGTGCCCGCTGCTCCGGAGGTCAGCCAGGCTCAGGCAGCAGGAGGGTAACGCCTTTGGAGGCATGGCTTTCCATTTCGTGCTGGAGGAGATCAGCTCTGGCTTAAGGACCTGAGAACAGGCAAAAACTTCAGCCCACACTCTCCACCCAAATCTGCTGACCACAAATGATAGCGTCTCTTTGACCAAAGGCTAGCTGGAGCAGTGTCTGTGTCTGTTTTCGCAGAATGGAGAAGGATGATTTGTGTAGTGGGCTTTTTGTCTTGGGCCAGGGTTGTGGGTTGTGTTGTTTTTTTTTTTTTCTTTTTGTTTTGTGTTTTTTTAATTGTCTCTTCTAATAGAGGAGTTAGAAACTTGATGTCTTATTCTTCAGCCCCATGCAGGAAGTCTGGATATGATTAAGGCAAACATCCCCAGGTTGCTTCTCTGTCTCACATATGTGTTTTGACTCACAGCAGTTTTCCCCTTTCTTTTCTGTATGTGGCTTCTAAATGAAAATTAGGCTTGTAAGCAGTGTCCAGCCATAGTCAAGTGTCTGGTAACTGATAGCTGCATGCAGTCGCCTTCCATTAAGCCAACCCAGGACGACACCGTGATACTGAGAAGACTGCGTGCATTTGTGGTGTTCAGAGGTGAGGGTGAATAACGCCACCGCCGGGCGCTTCTCCTCAAGTTTGAAACTGCCTTTCAAAAGGTTAGCTTGGAATCGGGTGGATTAAGAGAGCATTTCTGTACACCTCGCTTGCTTCCTATGGGCAATTAAATGGGATTGTCCCTTCCGGAGTGCGAATATGCTGGGCTGCCTGTGTGCCTTCCTTGGCAAGGACAAGGGGCATTGCTGCACTGCTGTGGGTTTTGGCAGACTTCGGTTTGTGCACCCCCCCTGTATCTTTCCAGATACACATCCCGTTGGTGTTTGGTCGGCTTTTCTGGGCTGTCTGCTGCAGGCCCCTCTGGAGCAGCGTCCCCTAGGCTCTAGGGATCCACAGGCTCTGGGCTGAAACCTGTGACTGTGTGACGCTGAAAGCCCATTGATGCCTCCAGCAGTGCTGGGCAGGCGACAAGTCGCTGCCTCCCAGCATCTGTGTCCAAAATGTCTCTTACCGCTGCAACAGGTTACACTTTAAATAACCTTGCAAAGGCACTTGCAAGCCGGCGTACCCTGTCGGGCTCTGCAGTGGGTGCGGGTGGTCCGTGCTCCGCTGCGGTGTTGCTCTGTGGCTTTCAGTGGATTACTTGTGTGCCTCGGTGTCATGGGGACAATGCGAAGTCCGCTTCCTTCCCAGGCTCTCCTAAAGCGTCTTCAATCACTTTTTTTGGTTTTCTGTGCGCAAACTGGCTTGGTTGCCAGTTTGTTTTATTACAGCCTGACAAGTTGTGTCTGTCTTACTAACTGGGGTAGGAGGAGGAGGAAGCAGCGCCGGCGGGGCTCGGGGCTGGGGTTATCCCTCTGTCTCCTGCTGGAGCTGGCAGTATAAAGCCTGTAATAATTACAGTTTGCTTATGTATTAAATCTTGTGCTAACAGCCACATGCACGTGTAAGTACATATGAGGAAATTACACTTTCTAGGAAATGGCCTCAAGTTGTGCCAGGGCAGGTTTAGGTTGGACATTAGGAAAAATTTCTTCCCCGAAAGGGCTGTCAAACACTGGAAGGGGCTGCCCAGGGAAGGGGTTGAGTCCCCATCCCTGGGGGGACTTAAAAGCCGGGCAGAGGAGGTGCTTAGGGCCAGGGTTTAGTGGTGGGATGGCAGGGTTAGGGGAACGGTTGGGCTTGGTGATCTTAAAGGGCTTTTCCAACCTAAACGAGTCTATGATTCTATCTTCATCTCTTATCGCCATAAAATTTGCATAGCTCTTCAAGCTGTGTCCATACTAACTTGCACGGTGGTGTAGGATGCGGTATAATCGCAGGGTTGTGGTGCTGACGCAGACACGGGAGCGAGGGGACGGTGCTCAAGCTCCTGGTTTGCCGTGCAGCCTAGAGGTGGCAGCCTCGGCTGGTTCTTCCCCAGTTACGTTCATCGGCACAGAAATGGGCTTGTCAGCGTTGCATTTTGGGAGACTGGTATACATGCAACAGGGGTGCAGGCTTGGAGCTTTTTAAATAACAGCCAGAGAACCTGTTGCTTGTTAGGAGGGAAAAAAATTGTTTTTCTCCTGTAAAGGTGATTCAGCACTACTGAGCTGAAAATCTTGAGTCTGATCTGTCCTTACAACGTTGCTTCCTTTTCTTATTGTCTGATAAGGAGACGCCGAGGTTCCCAGTGCTGAAGACTGAAAAGCTGTGGTATAGGTGTTTGGGAGATGTTTAAGAAATCCCTGACACTTCATTTGCAAACAGTTCTGATTTTCAGTGTGGGAAATGAGGAGTATTTTATTGCTTTGTTGTGGCAAAATTAGCCCCCGAATGGTGTTCGGGTGTCTGGCTGAAATACATTCCAGGTGTGATGAATACCGTGCTTTACTGTTGATGCCCTTTTTTTCCAACTAAACTTATTTGTAGTCTCTGAGCATTAAATCAGTTTTGTAAACAAGGCAAACAGCCAACGTCTTACAAAATGAGCCTTGGGAAGAGGAGTATCTCATTTGGCCTATGACAAAGGCTTCGTAATTTAGGATAATGTAGGTCATTGCTCTGGGCCAGAAGCGAAGTGCTTCCAATACCAATTGGCTTTTATGGGAATGGGAAGTACTCAAGATTTGGGGGTTTGGTCTCTCAGTTGTTCAGAAATGCAGGAAACTCTGCCCATAACGCCATTCCCTTGGGCTGCTGCCTGCGTGCCCCCAAAGTGGCTGGCACCGCGCTCCATCGGGCTGCGGAAGGGTTGGCATCAGGGTGGGCAAGCTGCGATGCAGCTGCCCCGGCCTTTCCCTGGCCAGACGGTGGTCAGTAGGTAGGTTGTTGGCCTTGCGCTGGGCACGCACTTTACAGATCCACATATTCCTTTCTGAGTACCACCGTGACCGCGGCAGGGCATGCTCCCCGCTTCCCAAGGCTGGGGCTGGTTGCCCTGGGGCTGGGTGGCTGGTGGCCACCCCACCTCTGCCGGTGTTCCCCGCGGCCGGCCCGCAGCTCTCGCTGGTGCTTTGGACAGCACGTGCAATACAACTTGTACTTGTTCCTCTGCAGGTGTCGCCTTTCCAGTGACCTTTTAAACAAAGCAATTAATGGGGTTTTCACAGCCGGGCTGGCAGCGAGCAGCCGAAGCTCGTTCCCCCCCTCGGCGGCCACGGAGACCCACGCTGGCCCCTGCCGAGCGTGCTGGCGGTGGTTGTACTGACGGTGCTTTAAGCTTTACAAAGGCAAGTGAGACTTTCTGAATTCAGGAACAGCATCCCCCCCTTATTTACACCTTTTCTCATCTTTGTTTTGGGGCCACATCTGGCTGCCGGTGCCTGGACCAGCTCCCCACGACCATGGGGTCCCATCGTGGGGCACCAGCAGCGCGTGGGTACGCTGCTCTGCTCAGACCGGGATTGCAAACTTTGCCGTGCGCTCAACTCCGCTCAGCCCTCGAGACTCTGATATTAATCTGCTCTTATGTTTTTTCATTCAGCAGTAGATTGTCTCGGTATGATAAGCCGCTACAGGAGTTGAAAGTTCTTATCTGTTTCTATTGCTTTCATTATTTGTTTGTTTTTCTGGAAGAAGGAAAAGCTATTGGACTTTCTCATTTTCTCTGCGTGCTTAGTCATAGCTCCTTAAATCCAGGCTGTTTTTCACAAAAGCCGAGATATTGAGAAAATTCAAATTTCCTGTGTGGTCTCGTATGGAAAAACCTCTTTAGTTTTTCGGTTGGAGCATATTGAAAATATACTTTCTTGTGAAGTGTTTACCATGCTCTACTCTGGTCTCGCACATCCGCATCCACTCAGTTTAGAAACAGATTCCCGCTGATCACAAAATGTCCCTTTTGCCTCCCAGAAGAAGGCAGAGGGTTTTGGTGCCTGGAGGTTGAAATGTTTGATGCAGCGTCTAGTAATGAATCAGCAGGTCCTTTATCGTGTTTGCCACAACAGTTTGCGTTTGTGCATTGCAGACATCAGCTCCAGGAGGGCGTCCTGCTGTCCTGATGCGACAGCCGCGGAGCTGGCTCGGGCGGGCAGACCCAGCGGGGGAAAGGAGGCTCCTCCAGCGTGTGTCTGTGCATGCCACATCGGGCTTTGGGAGGGGACGTGAGCTACCCGACAGCGAAATCTAGCTAAGCTCCAGTATTCAGGATCATTTGTATGTTAGGTGAGGGAACAAAGATAGATATGTTTTGTTTATCTTTTGGGAAAGGAAGTCAGAGGGGGGCCTTCCCTGTTTCAGGCTCTACACTGAATAATTGAGATATCTGTAATCTAATGAGCACACTTTTGGGAACGGTTGCTCTTCAAGGAAACCCTGTGAAAATGAGCCTGGCTGCAGACAGCGAGTCGAACACGGCTGCGTGTTGATAGCATTAGTAGGGTGCTGTTTCAGCGCCAGCCGTCCTACCTGACTACGAAGCACGTGGTACCCCGTGGGCATCGTCCAAATAAATAATGAATGAGGCGTAATGTGTGGGGTGCATTTTAAATGCATCACAACCAGGAAGACGGTTCTGCTCGGGGAAGTGGTGCAACGGATGCCTTGGCAAATGAACACTGTGGGAGGAAATGCAGAGCTATTTGCAATGTAAATAGGTTTTTAATTCAGTTTCACGGCCCCTCCCCTCATGCTGTTAAGTAAGTTTGACTTTGAAGTGAAGCTGGAAGAGTTGTTATCTGCTCAAAGGCAGAACAAACATTTTCATGTTATCACCTTTCTGCCCTGTGTGTGAGGGACCCTGGCATGCCAGATACCACTATTGCCTCTCTAGGACCTCATCACTTTGCTGGGAGTCCAGTGTCAAGTTTAACACAAATGAACGATTTAAATTTCTTTGTTTTAATGTCTTAGCTAAAGAGACAGAAAATCCCAGTATTTCCTTTTCCCATGTTTCCCTAGTTGAGCTAGAGCCCTTCCAGGGCTTTCTGCCTGGGATACCTGTGCCTTCAGCAGCAACTTGCCTTAAACTCAGACTTAAGCCCTGGCTGAAGGAGGTTGCAGCTGAGACCTGTGGTCACCCAGGGAAAAGCCTGCTCCTGCCACGCGGGAAGGATTTGCTGTCAGCCGGTAGCCAGTGCCACTGCAGCTCCTCAGCTACCAGGAACTGCTCTTGAACCACTTTGTCTCTGCACCACAAGGAGCTTTCTTCAGTGTTTTGAAAACATTTGGTGTTGGATGTTGAACGTTTTCTTTCTCAAATGGGGCGATGGTTAAGTGGTTTCCTCTTCCCTTCGAAATGAATAAACTTCTAAACCACTAAGCTGGTGAGTATTGACTGACTCACCAATGGGATTAGCGGAGATCAAACACATTATGTCTGGTTTACTTGGACCTGGGCTTGTTGCAAGCCTGAACGCACAGCTTGCACTGGTGAAACAGTGCTCAGCTGCCGTGCGTGTGCTGAAAGCCAGTGGTTGGGTTGGTTGGATGGGGAGCGGAGTTAGGGAGAAGGGTTAATCTTTTGGTCCTCGCCCATACGTACCACAGAAGATGGGCCAAACCCAGCACTATGAGAGCCCCTGTTAGTGTTTTCTTTTCTAACAGAGGATCGGCTCTTATCAAGGACCAAACGACTTTTGCATGGTTGTTGCAGCTCACGTTCTCTGGCTGAATCACTTTTGGGAAGTGTAAGTCAGAAATGACCCTTCTTCCCAGGCCTTATCAGTTTTTGAGGATTTAGTACTGAAAAGAGCCTACGTGCTTTGCTGCACGCGGTCTGTAGGCAGTTGGCAGCTCCCAAGGTTAAATCACTCTTCCCCACCTTGTGGCGTGGCAGCCTGGTGCTCCATGAGTGGTGATCCTGGTTCTCCGCCGCCCTTCTGCAGCCACTGCGCTTTGCCATGGATGGGAAGAGCAGTGTCAGAGCTTCTCTGCTGTTGTACTTTTTTTGGATGAAACCCCAAGAGCATTGCTGCAGAGAGCACACTGGTAATCACCCCGAGCACGCTGAGTCGCGCAGCTCTTTGGCCATGCCTGCGTCTCCCCCGTTGCCAGGGCTTCTGCCTGCTCTCCTCCTGCAGAAATAGCCGTCGTGCTCTGCTAATGCATCTGAAAATAGCCTGGGAGGAAGCAGAATGGCTAGACCAAACAAACAGAATAGATCTCTCACCGAGACCAGGGCCTCTGTCTGCTCCCCCAGGCACTGTGCGGGCAGCCCGGCCCCGCTGTGTGGTTTGCTGGGAGCGGCAACAAGGCAGGATGCGGCCACCCCTTCGGATGCTGGAAACCCAGACCCAAAGGTGCGAGGCTGAGGAGGCGTAGGGCTAGCAAGGGTTTTTGTGTCTGGGTCTGCTGGCTGCAAGATGAGCTGGGCTGTTAGGATGGAAAGGCTGACAGCTTGCAGCCAAGTGAGATGCAGTAAATCATCAGCCCACGACGTGACCCATGGGAGTACAGTGTTGGCTTTCACCTTCTGCGGTGTGTTCTTCTCTTGTGCAAGCACACAGCTACACCTGAAGTTGTGCAAATACTCTCCACCGTGTTAAATCCATCGTGACTTTGGTGGCCATGCTTATCAGAGCTAGATAATTAAGTCTTAACTCCGTGCATAGAAAGGGCAGTCTGGGAGTGGACTTAGGATCTACTTAGGAGTGGTGGAGGTGGCATTGGCCCTAGGGCGAGGGCTGGACTGGTGTTGTCCCCTGGCTCCCTGTGCTTTGTTTGCAGGCGCTTGGGCCTGTTCTTTGCCCTTCTTATTAAAATAAATAAGCACACACAGAGTTATTTTTTAGAGGCTGGATTTCAGTGCAGCTCATGGGCTGCTGTGTGTGTAATGGCGGGGGGCAGCGGGGCCGGGCCCCCCCAGCCGGTGCAGGAGCCAAGCACCCTGGGGCACCCCGGGACTCCTCGCAGCTCTCTCCCCGCAAGGCTGCTGGGCAGGGGCACGCGGACCAGGATCGCATGGCTGCTGTTAGTGCATAGAACATCGATGTATGGACGTGGTCAGGGAAATGGCGCAGCCACGCTGGCACGAGTGCGTCAGGGATGAAATTCTCCACACAGCAGAAGGTTCCTCCCTGCGAGCCGGTGCTTGGGGTGGTGGTGGGATGGGCTGGGATGTGTGAGCCTCCCGGTTGCTCGGTTGCCTTCCTTGCTTTTTCCTGCTGTTGCATGGATGTGCTTAGCCCAAGTGCAGGTGAGCTGTCTGGCTGAAAGCCAGAGAAAGAATGTGGCATCCAGCTCGCTTACACTAAAAATGCTGAAAATGTGCGTTGATTGTTGGAGATACCCCCTGCTCACTTGCTGGTCCTGGTTAGGACTTCCCAGGATGGCCCTGGAGTGGTCAGGCTGGGCTTAGCTCCATGCTGCTGGGGCTTGTCTAGGAAGAAGGTTGTCCTCTTTCTCTCTCTGTCTCATGGGTCATCTTACGGTTGGATTTGATGATCTTAAAGGTCTTTTCCAACCTAAATGCTTCTAAACGATTCTATAATCTTTTTTTTTTTCATCCTGCAGTTTATTTACGGTGTTCCCTTTTATCTCCGCAGGCCCGGCGTGATCACCATGCAGGCGCTTTCAGAAGAGGACCGAAGGCTGTGGATGGAGGCAATGGATGGCCGGGAACCGGTGAGCAGAAATATTAGCGAAAAAGTGTTGGAGAAAATTGTGGAGAGCTTTTCGTAGCCTGGGGCAGATTGTTTGCTGCGAAGCAGGCTGTCACGCAGCGCCTGCCAGCCGGTGCGAGAGCTGTATCCGTGGGGCAGCTCGTGCCTTCTGCCAAGAGAATAGTTTAATCCCTTGGTTAAATATTTGAGGTAATACTGTATCTCCTGTGCTTGGATTGCTTGAAGGTGCGGTGGAAAGGAGGAGGGTAGGCTTGGCCAGCACAAACACGCTGCTGTGCTGTGCTGAAAGGAAAACATGGCAAAAAGAGCAGTGGAAGAAAATACGCTGTAGATTTCCAGGGCTTTTTGAGTCCTGCAACTCATCTGGCAGCCGTTTCTGGGTCTTGTAGAGAATGGCAGGTTTCGTGTGAGCAGAGGAGTGCAGCCCCTGTTCCCCATACTCGGCGATAGCCTTCTCACTGCTGGGTTTGCTCCTGCCCTGCCAAAGCTGCACAGGCTTCCTCACCTCTGGAACGGATTGTGGAGCTTTTCAGAAAACTCACAGTTGTTGTTTCTTTATTTTTTAATGTGTATGCAAACTTTACTGCCAAGCTCGAAGAGCGTTGGCTGGTTTGGACCGGGCTCCCTCGGAGGAGTGCTGGTGCGGGTGCTGAGCGTGGTCCTGCCCGGTTTCGGCGTGGTAGCCGTCCAGCAATGAACAGCAAACACGGCACTGCCGAGCAGCCGCTGTACACAGAGCGAGTCCAGACTGTGGGCCTCTGTGCTTTGGCGTGGCCAAAAGCGTAGCAGGGTACGAAGAGAAACTTTGCGGATAGCGAGAGCAGCCAGGGCTGTTACGGGATAGCCCGTACATTTTTGGAGTCTGTGACTGTGCTTCTGGGCTTGAGTCAGGCTCTGGCAGGCGGCGGAGAGTCCACGCAGGGAGCAGGGTGTCCCGTCCCAGCACAGCCCTGCTGCCACAGGCTGGTACTGATTTGAGCAGTTCCCCCCCCCAAATCCACGAAAAGGTCCTTGTTTGCCAGAAAAGGTGTTCATTAAAGCCAGGTGAGACATGGATCTGTCCGGAGATTGCTGGAAAGCACACGATGGGCTTAGTCAAGCAACTGGCTTTTGAAATGTTCAGTGGTTTGGAGGTCTGGAAGGCTGTGCGTGTGTGAGGGTGCTGCAGTGTGTTTCAGGTAAAGCGTTTTGTTGTGGATTACAGCCAGGTCTCAGCCTGGAATCGTAGATCCATTGGGTAATTCAGGTAAGATGGGACCTCAGGAGGTTTCCAGTCTAACCTCTTGCAGATTAATCGTGGTGTTATCTGGCTGGGTGCTGAAAACTTCCGAGGAAGGTGACTGCTCAGCCTCTCTGGGCTCCAGCTCTGCTGCTTCACCGTCCTCCTGGAAGAGTTTCTCCTCATACCCAGTGTGAAGCTGTCCTGTTTCATTTCACACCTATCATCTCTTGTCCTCCTGCCATGCACTGCTGTGAGGAGCCTGGCTCTGTTTTTCTCATGCCTTCTTCATAGGAAGGGTGCCGTCAGGTCCCCACAAAGCTTCTCCTTCTCCAGGCTGAATAAATGCTGCTCCCAAACAGGGTCATCACAGCTCTCTGCCGTGTTGGTTTCCTCCCTGCAGCAAAATTGTGCTTCTGGGACAAAAATGCTCAGTTACACCTGCAGACATACCATGTCCAGAACAGGTAGTGTGGGACGTGCAGGAACAGAGGCAAAAAAGGACTGAATGTGTGTTGTGTGCACAGGACAGCCTCTGCTCCCTTTTTCTATCATGGGTTGAAAAGAGACCCTCGTTTCGGAGAGTCAGCTTGCTCCTCCACCTTGGCTCTTGACCCAGGCGGCCCTGCCCTGGGGCAGCTTTAGTGGGAAGACACTTGGGTGTAAGACATACCAGCCTCTCCAGTTCCAGCGTGCAAGCTGTCTTGTTCCTTCCTAAATGAACCCCTACCTTGATTCTGGAGGCACCTGGAGATGGGATAACATTTTCAGTTTCTTCAGGAACAAACCGTATGTTCTTGCTCCTGGTCCCAATCAAGCCTTGTCCTCCTTCAGCCTGCTCGCCTACTTCCCACTGCCTCACCTCCGCTGGGAACTTGTTGCAAGGATGCGAAACCCAGTCACCTGCTACGGGAGCTGCATGAATGTGGTCATCTCGTTGCATTTTGACCTGCTGAGGTTACCAGGATTTGACACAGCAGCAGAGCCTGTCTGTTGGGATCAGGTTGTAGAAGTGCAGCCAGAGATTTTGCGTGCTCGTAAAGTGCTACACATACGAAAGGTGCTATGAAGTAACCAGTGCAGGACTGCCTGGATTATCCTGTTTCAGAATCTGGTTATGTGAACTCCTTCAAAAACTCACAGGTCTTCGTGCTGCTGCCTGCGTGTTCTTCCCTATCATGCCCATCAGCTTGGGGTAGCTTGCTCATCCAGCACGTCAAGGATTGTTGCTGCTCATTAATGCAATACCTCATGACATTTAAATGCTAATGGCGTTTAAACCTGGCCTTCCAGGTGTGGTGCGGGAGCCATGGGAATGAACCTGTATGGAAATGGATCCAAGAGGCATTTTACTGACGAAGATGGTGAATATTGACAGGCAAGGTAGCTCCTCATCCTCAGTTATCCTCCTCGATCCATCAAAAGTGGAGTCTCAGTCTGTTCTGTTTGGGTTCTTAGCTTGCAACACCAGGGTGTGGGATGTTACCTACTCTGCAGAGATTTCCTTGAGCAAGAGACAAGGATTTAACCTTTGGACTCCTAGAAATATCCACTCTATGCTTTGACTATATTTTTGTAAGCAAAAAACCCTTACTGGAAAGAATGTCTGGTTTTCCTTTGATTTGAATATTGAGTGTGGGAAAGATTGGCACAGTGGGGACAGTAATTCCATGTGCAAATTCAGGCTGTGGAGAGATTAAAGTGGACTGGAGTTTGTTTCTTAATTATAATTAAAAAACTAAACCCAAATGTTGTATTACATTTTAGCAAGATCTAAACATAGAATGTGTGCTGCATTAGCCAAGACATTTGTCACAACTTGAAAAGATTTATTATATATCTTACAGTCAAAGCAGTCTCCAGATAGCTATCATCAGTCTGTTAACTCTTACCACTTGTTATTAATTTGGCTAAAAACTCTGTGTTGACTTTGGGTTTTCTTTCATGCTACAGAGGCTGGAAATAGGAGAAAATACTAACTCCATAACAGCAGTTGTGTTCATTTTTGTTAGGATATTCAGGATAAGTTTCCTATGGTTTTTCTCCTCTGGTGATGCAGCTTGCAAATGTATATGGTGGAGGCCAGAGTGATTCTGAAACTTTGTTGGAGCTGAAGTCGAGAATAAAAAGCTGTGTTGGCTCATAGCAGAGGCTGTGGCAGGCTGCAGGCCTGAGAGGCACAAATTAGGCTGGCTGCTTGGTGGCAAAGAACTGAACAAGACAAGCTTTTTAGTAAGGTCGTGGCTTTGCTTGCCAGGTCTGCAGCGAGCGTGCCAGCCAAAAGAGGGGTGTTCCTGCTGTTACCTTCCGAGCAGGTCAGTCATCTCAGAAATCATTCTCACATCAGTGAGGGCAGAAGTGGGGTACTGGGTTCGAATTGTTCGGGACATGAAAATGTTTCTCCAGGAAAGCAAGCCTCGCAATGTAAGGGTACGTAGAGGGTTAAGGATGTGAAACATGTTAGATCATCTCCCCGTTGAGCTGTATTAATCCCTTATCTGTAACCTTGAGTGGTGATGGAGAAGTTAGTGTTAAATGGCAAATGCAAAAGCCTGTGATCCTGTCAGAAGAAATAAGACATGGATGGGATCTGAGCAGTGCTGTTCTGGCACTCGCATCACGCTGCCCTTTGCTCGATTTGTTTTGGTTTTAGTTTTTGTTCTTTAAAGCAATGCAAGTCTATAAAAATACAGCCAGCAGTTCATATTGGAGTTGGTTTTGTTTGTGCTGTACAGCTGAGTGCACCACGAGCTGGGGACGAGCAGTCGGTCTCATGCCCTCGCAGGGGCGGGAGGGAGGACTCCGAAATGGAGACACATCGGCAGCGCTTTCTCCTTTCCTCCTCTGCTTCCCTTACCCTCTCTTTGGTTCTTTAATGTAATCTGCAAGTTTGCAAAGGCAAGAACAAAGTACAAAGTCCCGTGCTTGCTTAGGGAAACTCGAGGCTGGTCTCGGAATGGAAAGGCAGCACTGCAGAGCCTGGTGGGTTTTGTCCTGGGGCTCGGACCTGTTGTACTGGAAGGGCCCCGTTCATCTTGGCACTCGAGTGACAGAGTCCTTACGTGATGAAGCTCCATCATCTAGAAAGCAAATAAGGTTTCTGCTCCCATTCTGGAAGGCTATTTCAGGACCTCACTGCTCTGATGTCTAGAAACCTTCCCAGGGTTTCCCACCCACCCAGGTTTAGTCGTGCCCAGTTCATGTCTGCTCCTCCATGTGAGGACGCTGGGCTGCACGGCCATTGCGCTGCGTGACGCTGAGGGCCGTGGGGGACAGTCGAGTGGTGGCTGTGGTGTCTGAGGTTTGTGCTGGGTGCTGAGACACCGTGTTCATGTTCCCAACCAGGGGCTGGGCCTGGCTGGAAACGCGATGCTGTTTGTCAGTGCTGGGAACTCGCTAAGTACAGAAGTAGTTACAGCTGAATTAATGGACGCCCAGAGGGCAAGATCCACAAAGTCTCTTAAATGTTTTTTAAGATATTATGGAGACACTTAAACTCTCTTAGGCCTTTGCTAGGTGCTGGAGGTCTGCAGGCACCATCAGCCCTTTGCTGAAAGCCTTCTTCTGCCTAGATGTGCCACTCCTTTGCTTGGGTGAGGAGCACCCAGCACCCACTACCTGGCTGCCACTTCAGCAGCGTCCTTTGTCCATCTTGTCCTTAATTTCTCTTCCTCCATCTCAGCCCAAACCAAACTCTTTCTTAGCCTTCAATCAAGACCTGGCTCCCACCTGTAGCTATGGGTCATGGCTTGGAGTTTATGGTGGGTCTCTTGTTTATTAGC